GAAGGGGACAAGGATCGACTTGAATTTTTTATAATATAAGTTTGTGAACCCGTCTTGGCCAGGGGCCTTGTTGGATGGTAATGATTGTATGGCTGCTTCTTTTTTTGTGGTTGTGATGGGGGTCTGGATGGTGGTAATTTGGTCTGTAGTGTGGTTCGGTAGTGCTATGTCTTTGAGATAGTCAGTTATCTCTTGCTCGTTCATTTTGTGCATCTGTTCTAGTTTGTAGAGCTTTTCATAGTATGCTGCGAAAGCCTTAGTTATTTCTATAGGCGATATTACTTTTTCACTGTTAGGGAGTGAGTGTATATGATGTTCTAGAGTTAACCTTCCTCTGCTTCAGCCTTGTTGCTAGTGTTTTGCTTGCTCTATTGCCATGTGAGTAATGAGTGACTTTCAATTTGTAGCCTACCTGTTGTAAAGTGTGTGCTTCTCACAACTTCTCTTTGTAGGGTATCTCCCGGTTGGGCTTTGTTTTGATTTGTGAGGTCCAATAATCACTTATGCCAAACCATCCATTGGACTTTTGTTCCGATGCTCTTCATATCAGTAGGCATCTTATGACCGATTTGTGTGACTGCCAGGTGTTGCTTATAGAGGTGACTCACATTTTGTTAATTGAGAAGAACTCTCTCATTGCTACCTCAAAGTCATCTGTAAAGGAGGGGTTGTGTAAAAGGGATTCATTGAGTCTCCATGGGCTCTTATGGAGCAGTCCAGGATTTTTTCAAAGTGTTGCCCTTCCACATGGAATCTATTAATTCTGGTGTATGTATTGTGGGGAGATGAAAAGTATGTTAGTCTTTCTCCTGTGGGTGGAGCACTCTCCACACCTCATAGAGGTGGTGGTTGTCTAGTAGCTTATTGTATGTTCGGCAAGCTTTCTGCTGGCGGAATTGTGCTACCTGAGGGGATTAGGTAGTTGTGTCCCAGCGATGGTCTAATATGTGATTGAAATCACCGCAAAGAATGAGCATTCCCTCCCGGACTGGCGAGAGCTGAGTAAGCATTTTATGTAAGAAGTTCCTCTGGTTCGTGTTGGGGGCATACACGTTGGCAAACATGTATTTGGTATTGTTTATTGTGCAAACCAATATTAAATATCTACCCTCAGGGTCTAGATGGAAGGTATGATGCTGGAATGATACAATGTGGCTTATTATGATTGACACTCCTCTGGTTTTATGTCCTGACATAGCATGATACTGATATGGGTAGATAGAAGGTTTGAGTGAAGGGGATGTTTTAAAATATGTCTCTTGGAGGCAGATTATGTCTGCTGCATGCATTTTAGGTCATGGAATATGCAGTGTCTCTTAAAGGGGGTGTTCAGACCCCGGACATTATGACATTGTATTTTCATACTATAGTGGGGATGGCAGTGGCGTACACATGACCCATGGGGCCCCGGTGCGAAAATTGATCCGTGGGCCCCCCCCCGCGCGGGCCGGGCTGCAACACATGGCGGTGGGCACCTGGTTACAGGGCTGCGACCCCTGCGACCGCGGTATGTACGCCAGTGCATGCAGATGCACACACACTTAAAGGACCACTCTAGGCACCCAGACCACTTCAGCTTAATGAAGTGGTCTGGGTGCCAGGTCGAGCTAGGGTTAACACATTTTTTCATAAACATAGCAGTTTCAGAGAAACTGCTGTGTTTATGAATGGGTTAAGCCTTCCCCTATTTCCTCTAGTGGCTGTCCCATTGACAGCCGCTAGAGGCGCTTGCGTGCTTCTCACTGTGATTTTCACAGTGAGAGCACGCCAGCGTCCATAGGAAAGCATTATGAATGCTTTCCTATGTGACCGGCTGAATGCGTGCACAGCTCTTGCCGCGCGTGCGCATACAGCCGACGGGGAGGAGAAGAGGAGGATCGGAGGAGGAGAGCTCTCCGCCCAGTGGTGGAAAAAGGTAAGTTTTACCCCTTTCCAGAGCCGGGCGGGAGGGGGTCCCTGAGGGTGGGGGCACCCTCAGGGCACTATAGTGCCAGGAAAACGAGTATGTTTTCCTGGCACTATAGTGGTCCTTTAAAGGACCACTACAGACACCCAGATCACATCAGCTCAATGAAGTTGTCTGGGTGTCAGGTCCCTCTAGTTTTAACCCTGCAGCTGAAAACATAGCAGTTTCAGAGAAACTGCTATGTTTCACTGAGGGTTAATCCAGCCTCTAGTGGCTGTCTCACGGACAGCCGCTAGAGGAGCACACTGAACGTCCATAGGAAAGCATTGAGTAATGCTTTCCTATGGGCGGTTTGAATGCGTGCGCGGTCGCATTCGGAGCTGAGAGGCTGAGGGATCCTCAGCGCCAAGGGAGTCCGGCGCTGGAGAAAGGTAAGTGCTGAAGACACACACACTTACAGACGCATACACACTAGCTAACAGACACACACATTTACTGACAGAGATACAGTCAGCGACAGACATACATACACACTCACTTACAAAACATACACTCTCATTGACAAACACACACTCACTAACAGACATCAAACAGACTCACTAACACACACACACTCAGTAAGACACACACAGTAACACACTCACTGACACTCACTAGCAGACACACACACTAACACACTAACACTCACTAGCAGACACACTAACACTCACTAGCAGACACACTAACACTCACACACTCAGTAAGACACACACAGTAACACACTCACTGACACTCACTAGCAGACACACACACTAACACTCACTAACACACACTAACACTCACTCTAACACTCACACTAACACTCACTCTAACACTCACACACACTAACACTCACTCTAACACTCACACTAACACACGATTTTTTTTTTTTTTAATATAATCCCCCAGCCTCCTTACCTCTTGGAGTGCTGGGGGGATTCCCTGGGGTCCAGTGGGGCTCCTGGGCGGGTGGCCGGTCGGGCAGGCAGGCAGGCGGGCGCGCGAGGGAGCACTCGGTGCTTCCTCTTCAGCTCCCTCGCGCGCCGCGTAGGGATGCCGGCGCCGGAAGATGACGTCATCTTCCGGCTCCGGTATCATTGCGGTGCGCGAGGGAGCTGAAGAGGAAGCACTGAGTGCTCCCTCGCGCGCCCTCCTGCCTGCCCGACCGGCCACCCGGGGTCAGCAGGGCCAGCCTCAGGGGGGCCCTGGGGTGGTCGGCTCCTGGGCCCCCCAGGGGAAGAGGCTGGCCCTGGGCGTACATACCGGGTCGCAGGGGCGGCCGGGCCCCCTGGTGGGCCGGGCCCGGTCGCAGTCGCGACCCCTGCGACCCTGGTATGTACGCCAGTGGGGGATGGTATAGTCGCTGCTAAGCACCTTTTGAGATACTTCTTTGCTAGAAGCATGCGTTTGCACCCTTCTTTCATTGGAGATGAGGTGTTTGGAAAACGTAGTTGCGATTGGAGCTTAGCTTACGTTGGATATAGATATTTGTGAATATAGTGCAATCTGAAGTTTCCACACAAGGGGAGAAGGGGAAAACGTGGGAAATTGAGCCGTAATGAAGAAGTAAGTTAAGCGTAGTTTGGACTACTGTAATCCAATTATGGGTGTCATACCTGGGGCTAGCTACCATGTGGGAGTGAGGTATTGCTTGAGATCAGGTTGACATGGGGGGTTTATCAGCCCATAGTTTGTTTCTATGACAAGTAACCAGCTTTTCACCTCATCTTGTACCATTAATTGATTGTGATCGGTTTAGAGATTATTTGATCCCCTAATATGGGCAGAGGGTTTAGAACAGACAACATATAATAACAACATTAAAACAGGGACCGGTTGTATTTCAGTATAGTTTGACACCTCCAGCTCTAAGTTGTCCATAGTCTGTGAGAGTTTGTTGGGTGTTAGTGTATCCCTTTAGGTATATTAGTGACCTAGCTCTTATGGAGCTCACCAGTGGGGTGTATATATACATTGCTCCCTCCATTACATCGGTCATCTAAGTCCAGTAGGGGGGTCCGCCAGGAGCCCAACCACTCCTGACATCAAGGTCTTAATGAGGGGATAGGTTTGTTCACTGGTATATGATGGAAACACCTGTACTCAGTCAGAGGGGTGTATGTTGTCAGATGGGTGGTAATATAAGACTGGGGCTGTACGTCACTTAATCATTAAGTGTCAGGTGTGGTAAAGGTGTTGCCCCCTGTTGTCGTGTGGCATCTGATAAGCATCATAGTTAGTACTATAGTTGCTGAGATCAGGTTGTTGCTGACCTATAACAGTGCATTTAAGATCCTAAAAGGAAATAAATTAAATAACATTATTAACGAGTTTAAGCTACAGTGGTTGAATAGCTAGGGGCTAAGGTGGAACTCACACTATGCTGACTCTTCCCGTCATTAAGTCCATGCGAGGTTTGCAGGACAGAATGTTTGGCCACAATTTTCAGGTACGTGCCTTCTTCCACTCTGGTTGGAGCTTAGAGGGTGGGTGTTGCTTGTTACCATGTGGTTGAGGGGGGATACCCCATCTCTTCAGGATCTTCCTCCCTTCTTCTGGGGATGAGATGGTGTGCAATGTCCCATTCTTGTGAATAAACAAGCGAATGCAGTGGCCCCAGCGATAGGGCACATTCTGCAGATGGAGAGCGTTGGTGACTTCTTTGTCTTCTCGCCGTTTCTGGAGGGTGAGTGCAGAAAGGTTGGTGAAGAGCTGTATAGAGTATTAGTCAGGGAGGTCCTTGCTTTGTCTGGAGGCCTTCATTATTGCTTCTTTGAGTAAAAATAATGCATGTGGGTAAGTACATCCCTGGATGCCTCCACCGGCAGAAACTTTGGTTTCGTGACCCTGTGTGCTCGGTCCATTAGTAAAACATTGGTAGGAAAATCAGGGGCCAAGGTTTTAAAATACTCTGTTAGATATTCCATAAGGTCCGGTTGTTTCACTGCTTCTGGGATGCCTCACAGCCTTATATTTTGGCTCCTGGACTGGTCTTCCAGGTCCATTAATTTGATTTGGCAGGACTCAAGATCAATTTTATGAATGGTCCGCCATATTGTTGTGCGCTTCTGCGCATTTACCCATGTGGTGTTCCATGCGTAATGTCTCCCAAATCCTGCACATCCTTCTTGAGGTCTGATATTGACCTATTGAAGTTGCGGAGCAATTTGTTGGACATTTCTTCCAGGTAGGCTTGAATTATGTCTTGTGTAACAGGCAAGCCTCTGGTCGTTGGGGTGCCTGGTAGTGGCAGGGTGTCATCACTGCCGCCATCTTGCTCTTCATCTTGAGAGTTAGGGAGTTTTGGCAGCTGATTATGTGCCGTGAAAAACAACTTTTTTTCCCCCCCTTTTTCTGGGTGTTTTTTCCCCTTGTTCTGAGACATCTTTCGCTGGTCAATATCGCTGTTTTAGTCGCTGTATGGGCCGATATAGGATGGAGCTTCACTCACTTGCGACCATCCGTGCCATCAGCCAGGCCACTCCCCACCTTTTCCCCTTTTTTACTGTGCCTTTCACTGTGCTGTGGTTTTTGTCATGCCTGGCTGAATCCTGCAGTGCCTGCTACCTCTACAGATGCAGTTAAGAAAAAATGAAAGGACACAGTTTCTTCCACAATGAAGGATGGCCATCAACACTATAGACTGGATACATCTGAAAGCTTTGTTCTTATCAAAGTGGAATGGGTTATTGGGTAGTCACTTGCACATTGAATTTTTCCTGCATTGTTGCATAAATCCCCTACTTTAAATTTAAAATTACTAGCCCTTGTTCCTGCTCCCTTTTACCTTTCCTAGTTCCCCTCTCATTTATTCTCCTTTCCCATCATCTTTTTAACCCCTTAACGGTGTTCTATGCCGTCGCGGCTTTAAAGGGCTTTAAAGCCGTTGCGGCAGCATAGAACGCCGTAACAGCTTTGAGCCACGGGATCGCAGCTACTCACCTCCGCCGCGATCCTCTTCTGGAGGGCTGCCTGACAGCCCAGACAGCCCTACACCCGGCGAATGAGGCCCCCGGGGGCCATGTGATCGCTCTCAAAGATCCCCTAATATGTGATCGCTCTCAATTTACACGAGTATGGCATAACTGTAGTAATTTGTCAGATTTCCATCAACAAGCCAATATAGTTAAAGAAAAATTGATTTCTAAAGGGTATAATAAACAACACCTTAAAAAAGAAATCCAAAGAGTTACGGATATAGATAGAAACAGTCTACTTATGGATAAACAAAAAGGTAATAGTGGGACTGATCAGTCAACAAATACATTTGAATATGCTTTTTTAACCAAATTCAATACAGATCATTATAAAATCAAAAAAACGCTGGCTAAACATTGGCATATTCTTAAGGAAGATCAGATCCTGGGTCCTTTTCTCCCTCAATATCCGCCTGTAATTTATATTAAAAAAAAAAATCTTAAAAACTCTTTGGCTCCAAGCTATAGTATTAAACTTTATAATTTACCATCTACCAGACAATTAGTGTCAGGCTTTAATAGTTGTTTACAGTGTAAAGCTTGTAATACTACGACTACCAATACGGGAATAGTGAAAGATTTTGTTAGTACAATTACTAAAAAAAGATATAAAATTAAGGAGAATATTAATTGCCACACGGACTATGTAATATATTTATTGCAATGTCCTTGTGGTAAACAATATGTGGGGAAAACCAAGAGGAAACTTAAAATTATAATTATGGAACATCTAAATAATATTAAAAGGAAGATCACAAATCATAGTGTACCCATACATTGTAATGGTTGCCCAGTCTTTGATTGGAAAGGGTTGCGATTTATGGGGATAGAGCATATTAAACAACATTGGCGAGGGGGAAATAGAGAAGACAGGTTGTCACAAAGAGACATTTTGGATACACCAACTGAGTACACTGGAACAGCTATACACTTTGGGAGATTCCCTGAGGAAGCCCTATTTTGGGTGAAACATGTAGGATTACTCTTTAGCAACCTTTGGATTTTTAAGGCTTTTTTAGCTTAATTTTATACTTTGGATTAATAAAGCAGTTTTTTACCTGTATCCTGAGTCCGGCTCTTCATATCTACAGCAGTTGTCCTAAAGGAAAAGGCGTCCTGGCTATAGCCCCCCATACCATCAGGGGAGGCACCCTTCTGCGATTTATTCCACTACATCTTGTGAGTGCATGCAAAACTTGTGCTTTTTATTAATTTTATAACAGTATAACACATTTTGCTTTCTGTTATACTTGTAGATCCACAGCCACTTTCTCCTATACGTTTGCCTTGGACTGTCTGAAATGTCAGACATTCCCCTTGCTGGTGGAAAGTGTAAAAAAAAAATAAAAAAAAATAAAAATAAATTAAAAGTGTGTGTGTGTGTGTGTATATATATATATATATATATATATATATATATATATATATATATATATATATATATATATATATATATATATATATACACTATATATGTGTGTATATATGTATGTGTGTATATATATATATGTATATATATATATATATATTATATATATGTAACGTCATACGTAATGTATTTTAATACTAATATTAGCATATATTAGTATTAAAATACACTTAGAATGACGTTACATATATATAATATGTATATATATAATATATATATATACACATATATTTATATATATATATATATATATATATATATACGTAGAATTACAATAATAAATAAATAAAATAATACAATAAATAAATAAAATATTGAAACAAAATTTAATATAAATTATATATTCATATGTGATTTCATTCTAACTGTATTTTGTTATTAATATATATAAATATATATATATATATATATATATATATATATATATATATAACAAAATACACTTAGAATGACATTCTATATATATCTATCTATATATAAAATACAAATAACCGCAAATATATATATATATATATATATATATATATATATATATATATAGATAGATAAATACATATAATTACATAAAAGATTACATTAGTATACATGTAGAATTTAAATACCTATAAATGCATATATATTAAAATTCTATGTGTATATTTAAGTAATCTTTTAACATAATTATGTGATTTGATTAATTAAAATTTGATTGACATGCCTGACAACACAGGGATAAAGTGCAGAGAATTTAATTCACAAGCACTATATTTGACCCTGTAACTCTCCAAGACACCATGAAACCTGTACATAGGGGGCACTGTTTTACTCGAGAGACTTCGCTGAACTCAAATATTAGTGTTTCAAACTGGTAAATTGTATTACAACAATGATATTTTAAGTAAAAGTGACATTTTTTGCATTGTTTACAAACAAACTGCACTTTTATGGACTATATTATTGTTGTTATATGTTTTACTGTTTTAAAACACTAATATTTGTGTTTAGTGAAGTCTCCCGAGAATAACAATACCCCCCATGTACAGGTTTTATTGTGTTTTGGAAAGTTAGAGAGTCACATATAAGGCTTGCATTTCATTTTTTTGACATTGAAATTTGCCAAATTGGTTATGTTGCATTTGAGACCGTATGGTAGCCCAGGAATAAGAATTACCCCATGATGGCATACCATTTGCAAAAGTAGACAACCCAAGGTATTGCAAATGGGGTATGTCCAGTCATTTTTAGTAGCCACTTATTCACAAACACTGGCCAAATATTAGTTTTTTGCTTTTTTCACACAAAAACAAATATGAACGCTAACTTTGGCCAGTGTTTGTGACTAAGTGGCTGCTAAAAAAGACTAAACATACCCGACGTTCAGTACCTTGGGTTGTCTACTTTTTCAAATGGTATGCCATTATGGGGGTAATTCTCATTCCTGTGCTACCACACCGTCTCAAAGGTAACATTACTAATCTGGCAAATTTCAATTTGAAAATGAAACGTTCTATATTTGACCCTGTAACTTTCCAAAACACCATAAAACCTGTTAATGGGGGGTAATGTTGTACTCGTGAGACATTGCTGATTACAAATATGGGCATTTTTTTGCAGTAAAACCTAACAGTATTATAACATTTACAGCTAAAATGGGAGGCGGAACTACATATTTTTTAAATTTTATTCATAATAAATTATCTTTCATATATAAATATTTGATATGAAATGAAAGCCCTGTTTCTCCTGAACAAAATGATATATAATAAGTGTGGGTGCATTTAATATGAAAGAGGTGAATTACGGTTGAACAGACATATAGCGCAAATTCCAGTTTTTGTTTACGTTTTGTTTTGATCAGAACGTGTACTATTGACTCTGTCCTGAAGGGGTTAACCTATCTGTTCGTGAAATTGAAAAATAAATTATAAAATGTTTTATTCCCATATCTATAACTAAAAAATATTTTTATTTCAGTTTATCTACATATACATCTCAAGATCTTCTACCAACTAACAAGGAGGGGTTGTACCACTTTATGATGCTTTCTGGAAGTCAGTTGGAGGCTTCACATACTGTCTTTCCAAAAGATTTTCTGCTTCAATACCAAAACAAATGACACTAGATTGGAATTTGTTTTCTGTTTGTTTTGCATACTCCTTGGAGCACTTGCCATTGGATCAAAGAATACATATGTCCCCAGGCAGGGATTGTCCAGCCAAGCCAATTTCATGTACAGCTAATTCTACCTATATATACTGTAAGTACAATCATTTTCTCTTCCATCCATGTGCACCAGAGATGCTACACTATATTTTGTATTCTTTCATTTTATTTCATATTTATCATCATCTGATAATTCCTTAAGGCACTACTCCCTCCCTCTACCACATTCCTCTTCTATCAGACCAGAACACAAAGAATATAAATTTAACCCAAATGTATATTCTGCCTCCAAAACTTAAAGGACCGCTATAGGGTCAGGAACACAAACCTGTATTACTGACTCTATAGTGCTAAACCCACCATTTAGGTGGCTTGCCTCCCTTAGTACCCCTATAAAAGTATAAAACTCACCTTATTTCCAGTGCTGCATGTGTCCGCCGGTGCTGGCTCTGCCTCCTTTGTGACATAATCTAAATGGCCGATGGGGCCCAATGCCGTTTTGGCAAATCAGGACCTCCTCATAGAGATGCATTGAATCAATGCATCTCTATGAGGAAAATTCAGCATCTCCATGCAGAGCGTAGGGACACTGAATGGCAGGGCTGCCTACTGTGCAGCCCTGAGCCAGAAAGCCCCTCCAGTGGCCATCTAAGGAGTGGCAACTTGGAGGTGTCCCTAGGGGCAATTTAAACAATGCTTTTTCTCTGAAAAGGCAGTGATTACATGAAAGTGCCTGAAAGGAGCTATTATATTCACCAGAACAACTACATAAAGCTGTAGTTGTTCTGGTGACTATAGTGTCCCTTTAACTGAGCTACCTCCAATACTTAAGTATACGCTCTAGAAAACTGCTACTCTTATATCTTTTAAAATTATTCCTGCTCACCATTTTTCATTAATACAAGATAACAGACATTTTTTTTCTTCCTAATTTGTTTTAGTCCAGATATGTAATAATATAATTTTGGCAACTTAATGTCTGATATTACGTAGCCATTAGGCCAGGCAATACTTTTGCCATTTTTGCATGTCACATAGTCATATTCCTCTTTTTTCCTCCTGAAATGATCAGCTACATAAATTAAAATAATTTTGACACACTTTTTTGTGCCATGCACAAGGCTGATAAGCGAGCAATTAATGCCTTTATTTACACTCCAAAATTTCCCAATTAGCAACTCAACTGACGTGACCTTTACTGACTCCCATTTAGTATAATGAAAACTGTTACTTATTTACTGGTTTCCGAGCTTGTTGCTAAATGTTATCGACTGCTACAATGTCTCCAGATTTAAGATTTGCAAACAACAGCAAACTTCCAATACATCCTACAAAAAAATGTGTTGGATATATGGCATTGCAAACCTAAAGCACATATCAAACAATAATAAAAAGAGAAAAGGCTGCATACATGGTGTAAAAAAAAAATGTGTGTAATGTAACATATAAATATATAGTAAATGGTGGTAGTTCTCTTTACACAGACTCAAATGTTCAGTTTCAAAAATATAAATGCCGGGTGCCAGACAGGCAGTTACAATACAATTAGTAATAGAATGGAATAGTCTGCACTCATGGTCTCAGTTTAAAATGTGTGCCCATGTTAAAGTGCATACAGTGATGCCAAAACAGGTTGACATTTCAGTACCAGAGTGGGACTTTCCTCAGGACAGCATAACATAGAATCTCACAAACATCAAATATATAGGTAAAAGGTGTAATTAGTGAACTCACCCCAGGTGTATGGACCAGCCCTCCGTTGCTTCCCCTAGTGCTGTATACACATGTTTCTCCAAACCAACCCACATCAGAAGTATGGAGTGTTGCCATGGTATTCACAGTTGCTAACCTGTGATTGGTGGGAAGCAGTACATCCTCTTTTTATCAAAGGTGGTTACTGTTTAACTTGGATTCCCATAGCAACAGAGTATACACCTAGCAGGTGTCTCTTATCTTAACGCGGATACCATGTCAGTCTAGACTGCTCACCTTCCATAAACATATAGATAGGGAAAAAAAGCATGTCAACGATCAAAAAAGGAAGAATGTAAATAGACAATGATTACATTGAAGGTGCATAATAAGTATAAAAGTGCTGTGTGCATTTATTCATTAGGAAAGTACTTTATGCTTATTTAAGTTTAAAATTAAAGTGCCACATGTGTATAAAATGTAATGCATAAGCAAAGTGCTACAAAAATATACAAGTGTGAAGGTCTACCAGTGCAGTATCTATTTGAAAATAGAAAAGACCAAGCATCAACAAAAAATATTTAGCTCAGAAAATGAAGGTCAGAGGTCAGAATTGTGTAATAGAAAATAAAATGCCTATAACTCAGTAGAGCCAGCAGGGAGAACTAGGTACGACACAATTGGGTTTTTTGGTGCTATGATCATATGATCATAAAACCATGGAAACATTTTGCGGCCTCCCTGTGTGCCCGTCACATGGCACACAGTTTGGGAACTACTGAGTTATAGGCATTTTATTTTATATTACACAATTCTGACCTCTGACCTTCATTTTCTGAGCTAAATATTTTTGTTGATGCTTGGTCTTTTTTCTTTTCAAACATAATTGATAAATCAGCTTTGGATCATGCCAGGGCTTGGGGATTTTTAGCTGAAGCATACAAATTAAAAACGGCTATTTTGGTAAAAACATGCATCAATCAAATTAATTCTACCCCAACAAGTAACAACTTAATTTCTTTAAGGCAATTTATAAAATGTTTCTCCATGACAATAAACACATCTCTGGAAAGTTTAATACCCAAATATGCTATTCTGAGTAATGTGTACCCAATAGAAGGCTTCCAACACCATGAGTTTGTAAACCGAAGTAAAACTAAGAACCAGTAACGGATAACATAAGATAACATAAGGCATTCTGCATACTGTTAGCGTGATGACGCCTGACGTCCCAATAGATTTCAATTGCGCATTCACAAGAAAACTAGTCATTGCCCATGTGTAATCAGCAGGACGCTAGCTCCAAGTAAGAAAACCTGTACAAAAGGAGAAATTTACATGATACCACAAACATGACATATGCATGCGTGCAGCACCCCCCATTGTAACCACCAGCCAGACGGAAAGCTCACATCTCTAGCACACTGAGAGAGTGAAGAAATATTAAAATCCCCACTCCCTCTTCCAGCAGCTGGCATCCCTCATTGAAGGCAAGAGCACACCACAAGATATAAAAAAAAATAATACAACATTTAGTGGCTGACCATTAACCATCAACTATCTTTTTTTTTTTTTTTGCATCATGCATTTTTATTTGGTGCCATGGATGGACTCTGAATCACAAAACAAGTTGTTTCATTTGTTTTTTCTGAGTCGTCCATATAGAGTTTTGGAGTTATGGAATTCAGACAAATCGTCAATCACCCAAAATATGGACAGATTGTGATTACTATTATTTTTTTTTATATTCTTTATTAAGTTTTTTTTTTTTTGGTCATATTTGTACAACATATACCATAACACTTACAAAACAATCATAAAATTACAAGGATCTGTACATATATGGAAAAGTAGGTGGAATGTAGTTGATTCTCAGGTAGGATGATATTAATGTACACTGTAAAAAATAAACAAGCCTAGTGCAATACAGTCTGATATGGATATATAAGCATATTCAATAGTCTTTTGGTATTGTAATCACAAAGATGGAGCCAATGTATGAGGCTCAATATGTAGGCAGGTGGGAGTATTAGTAGGGATCCCACTCCCTTGCTTGCTGTTTTCTCTTGTCTCCATTCTCGTCCAATAAGTCCACGGAACATAAGTTGAAGTAAATAGAGATACTTTATTGGTACAGAATAAAAATTAGATAAAAGTAAAACACAGTAAAAATGAACAAAGTATAAAATAAGTCCAAATGTGGATAAAGTGACTTGCAAAATGCGTTTCGCCAATTAAAAGGCTTCCTTGTAGCTTTCTCCAGTGATCGGTTGTTCATATATACCTCCCTGTTGATTATCCATTGAGGTCACCTGATTGTGCTTGAAATTATTTCCGTCTTTGTCTGACACGGCTACCCGCTTCCACCTTTGATGCTGTATTCCTTGTTGGTCCGTGTTTGGAATGCATACGTGCGTTCCACGTCTTCAATTAGCTTTATTGTCCATGAGGGCTGTTAACATAGCTGTTCTCTCCGTATATATATATTGGACATAATGGGATATAGAAGCCGGAAATTAGTATTAGAATGCATTGGAGTTAGGGTCTTTCAAGCATTCAATATTGAGTACATTAAAACTTTAGAATATAAAAAAAAAAAAATAATTTACCTTCTTAAATTGATTTATAAAAAATGTGAATTACATAGATAAGACAGACCTTTGGTGTAAAAATGTAATATGTATACAAATCCTTATTGTCAAAACAATGAATCAATAACAATAAACATAAAAATAAAGAAAAAAATTCTTATATCACAAATATGTCAAATATATATTTAAAAAATTCCTTATATCGAGGGCGGAGCCTGACCGCGACCGAAGATGGCTGCTTAGTCCGGCAGCTCTCTCTCCCCCGTGACCGCAATCCGCCACCATCAGCTACCTCGGCCGGGAAACGACCGGCGAAACAGGCGACCCAGCCCTCACAGACCCAGGCACGCTCTCCCCCATGCGAGGAGGAAAGAAAAAACAGGAGAAGACCCCCTCAGTGGCATCCATATTCTGCCCGCGGAGCGCGCCAAATCCGCCATCTTGCCGCTCAGACATGGAGGGCTCTGACAAGGAGACTACACACAACAGGTACCTGACCACAGCAGACTCCCCCTTAACTAAAAGGGACCTACAAAACCTACTGCAGGAAGCCACTGCAGAAATTAAACCACGCACAAAGGCTGAACTGAACCGCCAGATTCAGTCCCTTAAAGCTGACCTAGAGGCCCTGTCACACCGCACAGACCATGCAGAGGCCAAACTCACTAAACTGGCTGACACCACCTCCTCTCACTCCCAAGATATCACCTACCTACATGGCAAATTGGCAGCACTTGAAGAAGAGATAGAAGACCTTAATAATAGGTCCAGAAGGAATAATATCAGGGTGAGGGGACTGCCAGAAACGGTAACTAATGACCAGCTACAGGCCTCCCTCACCGACCTCTTTAACACGCTACTACCAGAGGCCACGCAGCACGACCTCGCAATGGACAGAGCGCACAGGGCGCTTAGACCTCTGGCGCTGAACCCAGACACCCCTAGGGATGTAATAGTGCGGATGCACCGTTTCCCCATTAAGGAGCAATTGGTCCGACAAGCCAGACAAAACCCCCCAACTTTCCAACAGCAGACCATAGCCCTTTATCAGGACCTGGCGCCTTCGACTCTCAAGAAAAGGAGAGATCTGCGACAATTGACGAACACCCTCAACCACCACAGCATACGATACATGTGGGGACACCCCTTCAAGCTGCTGGTCCGCAGAGAAAACCAGACGCACATACTATCGAATGCGGCGGAGATGATCCCCTTCGCAGAGTCCCTAGGCCTCACGCTTCTACCTCTACAACCGAATAGACCACCTGGCCCCAGAGGGAGACGTCAGGAACCCATCAGCCATTCACCTCGACGCACACCGAGGAAAAGAGCACCCCCAAGACCACAAGACGGCAGCCCACAGCGGCACTAAGATCCTGTCAAGATTCCCGCAGAGACTCTCACTCCCAGGACACTTTTACCGCCATTACGCTATATGGCCCTCGCTCATATCCTTTTTTTTTTTTGTACTACTGTGCTCTTTTAATATGCTTTCTGTTGTTTTTCTTTGCATCTTAAACCCTTATCTTGTTTGACAAACCTGGGGCACGAGGGGGGGGGGCAGAAAAGAGGGAAAAGAGACGGGTAAGAGAAAGGGGAGAAAGTGGAGGAAAAAAAAAAAAGAGAGAGGAAAAGCGGGGGAAAGAGATTGGGAAAGGGACGTAGAGGACTCCCCCAGGCCTACGTTTAACCAGGGCACCTAACCCACCCCGGACCGTCGTTACATCTCCAATGACATATTTTAAAGCAACAACCAAAGCAGAAATAGGGAAGGGGGGGGGGAGGGAATAAATCAACAAAGGGAAAAAAAAAAAGAAAAGAACAGGAAAGGGAAAAAGAGAAAGGCCTATACCCCAAAGAGGCACAGTTGCTTAGACACAACAGGAGGGGAACAGACGAGGCCGTAGGGGGAGGGCCAAGGGGAGGGGGACAGCGATAGGCCACGACCATAGCAGTCACCCCGGGCGGGAGTGGGAGCTTTTCAGCAACATGGTCCATATAGGGCCCTATAGGGAAATAGAAGACGAGACCCCCCGAGCTCCCTCCCCCCGACGACGACAGCATGGACGACAGGCCCCACCTCGGTTCACGAACGATGCCCGCCCACCCCCCCAGACAAACACCCCCTCCCGCAAGGACACAATGGAAGATAGGTGACTATTAGACTACACCTGAGGAGACAAGGGAGCACTTCCCACCTTTTGAGAGACACTCTGCACATCGCTTCAAATAACCTAAACATGAGGGGTATTAAATCTTCTTTTTTTCTTGTTTGTATATAGTTCCGAACTCGCCCAGACGGACACTCCACAAGCCCTCGACAGAGAGCCAAAGTACATCAGACAAAACTCCAGGTACACAAGGTAACACATCACGGGGGGGGGGAGAGAAGTGGACGTGACCATCCTTCCTCTTCTCTTCTCACCCCTCACACACACCACACGATACCCACCCCCAGAAGGGTGAATCGAATCACATCCTCAACCCCCATATCACCCTCCCGCCCACCAAGCTTGGCACGCACATCGTAAGACCAAGCCCATTTAGTACCCTCCCCCCACACCCCCCCCTGACCCCCCCCGACCCCGCACGCCGAGAGCAAAAGCCGTAGCGATACAATGCCAACTGCCACACTAACCTGTGTCTCGATTAACTGCAAGGGCCTGAACAGCCCGAACAAACGGCATCGAGTCCTTCGATGGGCCACCAGAACTAAGGCAGACGTCCTCCTCCTGCAGGAGACGCACTTTGAGCAAAGCAGGCCCTTCCCGCTACGTAACAGACACTACACAGAGTGCCATCAGGCAAACTCACCCCAAGGAAAGCATAACGGGGTGGCCATCCTCATTCGCAAAACCTGCCCCATACAATTCTCCAACGCAGCCTCAGACCCCCAAGGGCGGTTCCTCACTGTAACGGGCCACCTAGGCCCAAATAAATACGCAATCACATCGGTATACGCCCCAACGGCACCACACGCACACTTCTGGACAGCCCTACAGGCCCACCTGGCACTATTCCCTGCCCACCACAAGGTGGTGGGGGGCGATTTTAACGCGGTGCTTTCACCGTCCAGTGACAGACGCAGAACTCAAAACCGGGGACTGCCACCCCCACCAGAGGCAAAAACAGACAAATTACTCAATTCTTTCTTAACAAGCACAAATCTAGTAGACATGTGGAGAACACAACATCCACAAACATTGGACTACACGTTCTTTTCCCATCCACACAAGTCCTACTCACGTATAGACATGTTCCTGACCTCCCCATCCCTAATGCAACACACAGACAGGACAGAGATAGGACAAATCACGTGGTCAGACCATGCGGACATTACCATAACTATACAGCTTCCAAACACGACCAAACAATGGGCTTGGCGGCTAAACCCTACGCTACTCCACATTCCACACATCAAAGACACAATTGACGCAGCAATAAAAGACTTCTTTACCAATAATACAGGCTCGGTAACCTCGGTAGGCACATTATGGGCAGCACACAAAGCTGTCATTAGAGGCAGCCTTATCTCAGCGGCCTCGGCCCACAAAAAGGAGAAACTATCTAGACTACACCAACACCTCACCGCACTCCGCAAGGCGGAACACGCGCATAAACAAAACCCCACCCTTACAACACGTCTTACAACAACAGCTACAGGTGCACAAACAAGCGATCCAGGAGTTTATGGCCCAAGACTCGAAAAAAGCACTGCTCGGGACACGGCAGATGTTTTACGAGAAATCCAACAAAGCAGACTCACTCCTAGCCAACAGACTTAAAAAGAAAAGACAACGGAACCGAATAACCTCGATTAATACACCGGACGGCCAAACACAAAACCTCCCTGAACAGATAGCAGAAACCTTTACTCAATTTTATACCTCCCTTTATGACCATGACCCCCAATCTCGACACGACGCACAAGACACAGAGGTAGCCATAACACGATACTTACAAAGCATACCGCTACCGCAACTCACTGATGAAGCACGAGAGTCATTAGCAGCAGAAGTTACAATCGAGGAGGTGGCAGAGACGATTAAGGCTCTACAACCTAACAAATGCCCGGGCCCCGACGGCTACTCGGGATTATATTACAAAACATTCTCTGCAACCTTAATCCCACATCTTAGCGAGCTCTACACATCGATCCTCAAAGGAGAACCACTCCCAGCGGAAATGCTCCAAGCTAATATTAGCCTAATACCAAAACCGAATAAATCCCTACAAGAACCAGGACACTACCGTCCCATCTCACTCCTAAACGTAGACGTTAAATTATTTACCAAGCTTATTGCGAACAGACTTAAACATTTTCTCCCGAAACTGATCCACCCAGACCAAGTAGGCTTCATTCCCAACAGACAGGCCTACGACAACACAAGACGCACCTATGACCTAATCTGGACGGCCAACCGCAGACGGATCCCGACGCTACTACTATCCCTAGACCCCGAAAAGGCATTTGACAGGATCCTCTGGCCATATTTATTTGCTGTCCTGACGAGGTTCGGCTTCCCCAGGGCCCTATTACAGGCAATTCGCACCCTCTACACCAACCCGACAGCACGACTACTAATACCAAATGCCCGCCAAGCCCCGTTCCACATACGTAACGGCACCCGGCAGGGGTGCCCCCTGTCCCCCCTCCTCTTTGCCCTCTCCCTTGAACCCCTCTTGCAACAGATCCGCACTACACCCGCCATACAAGGCATAAAAATAAGAAGGGAAGAATACAAAGTGGCAGCATATGCTGACGACTTGCTTCTAACCCTGACTGACCCAGGGACTTCCCTACCCCCACTGTTAGACTTACTAGAGGCATACGCCAAAATCTCAGGGTACAAACTCAACATAGAGAAAACTGAAGCCCTAACAATCCAAACCCCACCCCACACGCGAACACTACTGCAACAAAACTACCCGTTTCGCTTCCAAACGCAAAGTATCCGTTATCTAGGAACAGAGATACCAGCAGACCTACATTCCACATACAGGCTAAACTACCCCCCATTAATCGACCAGGCCCTGAGAGACCTGCAAACCTGGCAAAAATTATCCATCTCATGGCTTGGGAGGCTGGCAGCGATTAAAATGAACTTACTGCCACGTTTTCTCTATCTCTTCCAGACCCTCCCCATCCCACTCTCACGAGCAGACTTCAAAAATCTCCAAATGCACATTGATAAATTTATTTGGGCGGGGAAAAGAGCTAGAGTAAAACGAATTACCCTGTATATCCCACACAAAAAAGGGGGACTAGGCCTGCCAAATTTCTGGGACTACCACCAAGCATCCCAACTTGCACAAATCCAATCCATGCACGCCCCCCCAGGGGTCAAGCGCTGGGTGGACCTGGAACACGACCTATTCGGACGAAATCTGCCAACACTCTACCTATGGATACCAAAAACACACAGACCACAACAGCCCAACACGACACCAGCCCTCACGACAGCCATCCACATCTGGAACAGGGCGACCGACAAATACAACCTCATAAATACTCCATCACCCCTTATGCCTGTGCTGAGGAACCCTCAATTCACCCCGGGAATGACGCCCCAACATTTCATCAGGTACGAGGACAACGACCTTACGAGAATCTGTCATTTTTATAGGAACGACCGCCTTATCCCCTTCCCAGAATTGCCAAACGCCACACCATATAACACGTTTGACCACTTTAGATACCTCCAACTCCGAAGCTTCCTGTCAACCCCTACCATAGCCGCTGCGGCGGTGTTGAAACCCACTGCTTTCGAAAGGGACTGCCTGAGCAACCCAATACACAAGGGCCAAATCTCCAACCTATATAACCTCATAACACTTAAAACCCCACCTGACGCCCTCTCCTACGTAAAGGTCTGGGAAAGGGATCTTGGCCCCCCGGGGGACCCCTCGGACTGGGCTGACATATGGGAAGCAACAGCGACAGTGACTATCTGTGTTAACCACAGAGAGCAGGCGTATAAGACCCTGCTCCGGTGGTACCTCACCCCCCTGAGACTCAAACAAATGAAACGCACAGACTCGGACAGATGCTGGAAGGGATGTGGCGAAAAGGGAACATACATTCACGTGTGGTGGCATTGTCAACACTTAACTCAAATATGGAAAGAGATGGCCGCTGCCACCTCGAGAGCATTACAAACGGACATCCCCCTAGACCCATGGACCTGGCTGCTGTCCAGGCCCCTAGAAAACCTGACCCGAGCACAAAACAAACTAGTAGCAAAGGTGGCCCTAGCAACGCGTAGAACTATAGCCACCCACTGGGGCAGCCCAGAAATCCCAACAGCCTCGGAGGCCCAGAGAAAGATTAAAGAGGCCATGGAGATGGACGAACTGTCCGCACTCATTCATGAGAACACTAGATCTTTCCATAAGATCTGGGACCCCTGGTTGGCATTGTAAGACTTCGCGAGCGGGGAAGGGGGGGGGGGAGAACAGCCCCCCCCTTTACCACAATCCACCCCTACCCTACACCCGCCCACAACACACATCAAAGCACCACAACCAGCAGAAAACAATTGCACAAACCTGCAAACATCACGACTACAAGCAACCACCTGAACCAACTCAGGTGAACCCCACAAGCTCAACCACACAAACACATCAAACTGATATTACGACACAAGGACACTCTCCAAGTTCTAAACCCCTAAACCCCCGACCCCAGAGGCACCACCTCACCCCCAGAGGACAGAGACAGGGCAACGCAACGGACAGAGTACGACAACGACTCCTCACAAAGCCCACGCCCTAAGCGAAAACCAGGTTTGAGCCTCACAGCGTATCACCAAAACCCATCGCCTAGGGCCTACTCCCTAAACTCAGGGCACACGATGGTTAAGCCTAACAGAGGGGACACCCCCATCCATCTTACACACCCGACCCTTCCAGACCCATAGCAAGGGGAGTTACATGTTGGACAACTGAAACAACGAATGTAAACAGGGAAAGAGTAATGAGTACAAATGTAACCGATTTAACTGTAACATGTTGCACCCCTTTTTCCTTTCTGTACCCCGTTTTGTTTAAAAAAAAAAAAAAAAAAAACACAATAACTTCTTTTGAAGATCCAAAAATAAAGAATTTATAAAAAAAAAAAAAAATTCCTTATATCACAAATATGGGGGGAATGTGGTGAAAATACGGTTTACAAAAAATGTAAGATCCAAGGAAATGATGTGAATAGTTATAACAAATGTTTCTGTAAAAAAATTAGTAAAAAATGTGTAGAGGAATATGAGATTAATCACAAAAATGTAGTGAGTCAAAAAAATGGTATTGATCATTCTGAAATATTCTTATAAAAGTTGATAACAAATATGGGGGGGGGGGAAACTGGGGGGATATGGGGGAAAAAATATATACTGGGGAAAAAAAGGAGTATGGATCATGTTCCCTAATTAAAAGCCAGATGTTATGGGTTACTGTCTATTCATAGAAAGTGGCATAGCTCAAAATCTGAATTTAATCCATACGGAATAAGAGTGTTGAAACTGAAAATATATCTAATTTCTTCTTTGCCTAGTTTGTTGATAAAATCTCCTCCTCACCAGTCCTTTTTTACTAGTCTTAAAACACAGAAAAATAGAGCTTTAGGATCTTGGTTATGTGTTATTTTAAAATGTTGGGAGACACTGTGGGTTTCAAGGCCTTTTCTTATGTTGCATATATGTTCCGCAATTCGAACATTCAATGGTCGAATTGTTCTGCCTATATACAGTAGGTGACATGGACATTTCAAGGCATATATATCACACCTTTTTGAGTAGCATGTTGTATGGTCCTTAATGACGTATTGTTTCCCTATGATGTGATATATTCGTGAGATGTCTTTTATGTTCGTTGTCCTACATGGAAGGCAATTTCCGCATCCAAAGAAGTCTGAAAGATCTTATAAAAAAAAATATTAGTTTTTTTCTGTTTCCAAGCAGCTTTTCACCAGAATGTTTTTTAATTTCTTATTTTCCTCTATAAATAATTTTCCTCTAGAAATAATTTTGGGTTGGGGGGGTAAAAGTTTATTTAATACAGCATCATCTTTTAAAAGGTGCCAATACTTCTTTATGGCTTGTTGTACTTTTCTAGTATTTCCGTGATAATTACAAATAAAAGGAATATCGTTTCTTCTCTGAGTTTTATTTTTTGGTTTATATGACATATGTACTCTGGAAAGATTAGTAAAATATTTTTCTCCAGGACAAAAAAAAATTCACCAGGTATCGCATAAATCAAATTTATTAAGAGTATTGGTAATTATCATAGTTTGTTTTTATAGTTTTTTTTTTATTAGATGGGATAGATTTAAAAAATTTCTTATCTAAATATACATCTAAGATGCAATTGAAATCTCCTGCTACAATCAGCAGGCCTTTCTTAACCTTATTAGCCTTATCCAATATTTTTCTCAGGCACTCACTGGAGATACATTAGGAAGATATACATTTGTCGATATATATACTTCTTGATTTATTTTGTAAACAATTATCATATATCATCCCATAGGATCTAAAATCTGATGAATGAGTTTGAAAAGTATTGATTTTGCCACTACAATAGCTACCCCTATTTGTTTGTTTTTTATCCTTGTTTGAAGCATCTATTATAATGAAGCCTTTACTTTAAAATATATCTCTATATATCTCTCCCTCTCTTCCATTCTCCAATGTGTCTCCTGTAGAAAAGCAATGTCCACATAGTGTTTCTGTCATGATCCTGAGAATCAAGATCTTTATTGCTGGATTTGGACATTATAAAATAAACTTATATCCGTTAATTGAAATAATAGGAAAGAGACTGCAAACAGATCTGAATAACTGAATTTACAGGTAAGGATAACTAGGTTATGAAAATAAAGGGTTGCATTTAAAATAAATTGAGCACTTGTTAAGACCTGAGAGTGCACCTTATCTGTATTTTTTGTTATATATTTTACAAAAATCCCTTGCACTCACGCTTTTGATACTCCAATGCCGGGTGCAATACCAGAGCTCCAATAGACACAATATCCAACAAGGAAGGCGCTCTCCGGTCTTAAAATAAAAATTTATTGAAAAAGTTTAAAAATAATGACCAACGTTTCAGTCCCCGATTGGGACCTTCCTCAGGGTCCAAGATAACAGTTGTTCTGTAGAGTTGAGCGAACCTGAACTGTACTGAACATTACATTTTTTGGACCCCGGACCCGAACACGGACATTTCAGTATATGTTCGGGTTGGAGTTCGGTGTTCCGCGATTTAATGGCGCGTTTTCAAAGGCTGAAGGGGAGCCAATCAACAAGCGTTTGACTCATGTGCCCTTAGAAGCCATCACAGCCATGCCTATTTATGGCATGGCTGTAATTGGCCAGTGCAGCATGTGACCCAGCCTCTATATATAAGCTGGAGTCACGTAGTGCCGCACGTCACATGAGCTCTTATTAGTGTAGGGAGAGGATGCTGCAGCTGTGAGGGACATATTAGGAAAGAATTCTGGTGTTGAATCTGCAAACTACATTGATTATTTTAGTGGGTGCTATACTACATTTTTGTACACTGCCCTGAGCCCAGTGCCACAGAGTGCAGTTCACTTGCAACTGCATGTGTGCCAGACACGTTACTTTAATCCTGTTCTGGTAGCTCAGTGGGCAACATCTAGGTATTTTTAAATACTGCAATTTTTTGGGTGCTAAATAGTACATTTGCGTACTGCATTTCTTGCACTCTAATAAAGCCCTTAAATACTACTGTTACATTGTTGGTTTAAAAAAAAATCACACTTTTTTGGTGCTAAATAGTACATTTGCGGCCTGCGGTGCACTTCATGTCTGAGAGTCAAATAGAACCGTCAAATACTGTGGTTACATCAGAGTCTGACCAATTAAAACTTTTTTGGTGCTAAATAGTACATTTGGGGTGTGCACTTCATATCTGGTATATGTGTGCAACACTGGCTAGTTACTGCTTCTTAAGAAAGTCTAAAGACAAATGTTGCCTATGGTGCAGGTAGTATAGAAGGCATGACTGAGACAAATAATTCGGGTTACGTTTGCCTGTTGACATGTTAAGTATCACCATTAGACCATTAAAATGCAATAATCAATGCAAAAACACACTGTGTCTTACAAAATATGTATTCTAGACAAGTTAAAAACTTAGAATGAATTTGTATATATATCTATGTATATAAAAATAAATAAAAATAATAAGAAATATACATATGTCCATATACAAAATTACATAAATAATTTTATAAATATACACGTAGACTTCAAATATATAAATATGCATATATATTTAAATTCTACGTGCGTATTTATGTAATAGTTTTACATAATTCAGTAATTTTATTAATTGCAATTTAAGGGACCTGCCTGCCAACCCAGGCCGAAATTCCAGAGAATTGAATTTGCTAGCACTGTATTTTACCCTGTAACGTTCTACGACACCCTAAAACCTGTACATGGGGGGTACTGTTTTACTCGGGAGACTTCGCTGAACACAAATATTAGTGATTCAAAACAGTAAAACATATCACAGCGATGATATTGTCAGTGAAAGTGACTTTTTTTGCATTTTTCACACACAAACAGCACTTTTACTGATGATATAATTGTTGTGATACGTTTTCCAGTTTTTAAACACTAATATTTGTGTTCAGCGATGTCTCCCGAGTAAAACAGTACCCCCCATGTACAGGTTTTATAGCATTTTTGAAAGTTACAAGGTCAAATATATGGGTCAAATATTTTACATTGAAAATGGCCAGGTTGGTTACGTTGCCTTTGAGAGCGTATGGTAGCCCAGGAATGAGAATTACCCCCATGATGGCATACCATTTGCAAAAGAAGACAACCCAAGGTATTGCAAATGGGGTATGTCCAGTCTTTTTTAGTAACCACTTGGTCACAAACACTGGCCAAAATTAGCGTTCAATTTAGTTTTTTTACTTTTTTCACACACAAACAAATATGAATGCTTACTTTGGCCAGTGTTTTCGACTAAGTGGCTACTAAAAAAGACTGGACATACCCCATATTGAATACCATGGGTTGTCTACTTTAAAAAAAATATTTACATGTGGGGTGTTATTCAGAGATTTATGACAGATAATAGTGTTACAATGTCACTATTGATAAATTAAAAAAATTTATGTTTTGAAACCGCAATATTCTACTTGTACCTATAGCCCTATAACATGCAAAAAAAAGCAAAAAAGCATGTAAACACGGGGTATTTTTAAACTCAGGACAAAATTTTGAATCTATTTAGCAGTTTTTTTAATTCGCTTTTGTAGATGAGTAAAAGATTTATCAAGTAAAAGTCAAAAAATATGTATTTTTTTCAATTTTTCATCATATTTTTTTATTTTTTTTAAATTAAAATACATGAGATTATATAAATAATGGTATGTAAAGAAAGCCCCTTTTTGTCCTGAAAAAAACAATATATAATTTATATGGGAACAGTAAATGAGAGAGCGGAAAATTCCAGCCAAACACAAACACCACAAAAGTGTAAAAATATGCCTGGTCGCAAATGTACAACATCGCAAAAACAGTCCAGTCCTTAACCAAACACCAAAACAACGTGCCAGACAATCTACCTGTGCATGGCTAGTGTGATACAATAAGTCTACATCTTAAAAATGCAATAACCCACAGAAGATGGGAGAGAATTTTTTTTTGCTCGAATTTACTACATCGGTCACATGTAATATTGTTTCACACCTACAACACTTGTTAAACAGATCTAAGTGATAGAAAACAGATTGATATT